ACGAGGTCACTGCCACTCCTCTGGTTTCTTGATTTGACAGCTCGCTTCTTGTTGACTGCACAGCCAGCACCTACTCCACGCACAAAAAGGTTACCTTTAACGAATGAAATGGGGCCAAAGTATTGAAGCAATCTTTCCCTTTGATCCAACCGGGGGAACCTCGCTGTGCCGTTTTTCATAGTCAATTGGAGAGAGTCAGCTTGCTGCTCAAGTACTCTGTGATGTTGTAAATATCTGTGGCAGCATTACAGTGGCAACCTGCTGAGACTGCTGTCACACGTTGAAAGGATACCATATGTGTGTACAGTATGTGGTATAGTATATTGGTACGGTTCGAGACCATCAAGTATAAACATTTTTTTCCACTGTGCTCCTAGAGCTTGACGTTAAACTGCGTTGAGGTTATGTGCTAATGTGCAACAGCATCACAGTGTGTAGTGAAGATATTAAGAATCGCACTCTTCATTGTTTTTCTCTCTTTTTAAACATTGCGTGACCCAAAGCACATAATTTCCATAGCACTGCAAGTTTGACACACAAGTCTATGGAGAGTCATCCCCACTCCAATACGAGCAGACTTTTGTGTGTGTGTGATGAACGAGAGAGAGTGCACGGGAGAGGAGACTGTGCCCCAAAGCAGACTGGTTTCACCATCTGTCCTTGCTGTGTCCTGTGATTTCCCTGTGTAATTCAGACAAATGTCATACTATGGGCAAGGGATGAGCTTTGACAAACTGCTCCAGACATTCTCAGTTCACACTCCCCCGATACTCCTGTTGAGTTCTTCTGTTATTCACAACATTTCTAACCTCACTCCGCAGTCGCGTGTTGCAAAGAGATTCGATTTTTCCTGCAACATGGAGGAAATTGCACATATTCCAGCACGTTCTAGGCAGGACGGCAGCTCTGAAGCACCGAAGCGTATCTCCTGTTTAACAGCACGAATGATGCCGCTGTTAGTGTGTGCATTGACCTGTGTCCTCTGTGCGTGTGTGATTGTGTGTTGACAGTATAAGGGCCAGGCTAACCTTCACGTGTTTGAGGACTGGTGCGGCTCCTCTATAGCCCAGCTGAGAAAGAACTTGCACTTCCCTCTCTATCCTCATGTAAGTACAGCAGTGTGTATTTTCATGCATTAACACTAAAGGCACATTGTACTGACTGGTTGTGCATGCCTGTCAGCCTCCCTGCTCGCACAAGTCACATATGCAGCTAGCTGTGTCTGTGTCATATTTACCAGCAGAATTTTTATTCCTTTATTTATTTTGGAAAATGACTCTTAGTCTCAGACAGCAGGCTTTTCATTTGTACCTATTGATTTGCTGACTGAAATTGACAACTGCCACAAGCACATTTCATCAGCTGCTCCTAGCTGAGGTGTTTAGTGCATGTGCAAATCAACCTGTGAAACAGTGAATCATCATTGTCATAAAATCAGTAGCTTTTAGCAGTGGAGCGCGCCTCACCGGTAGCTGAAATCACTGTGTTTTACATCCTTCTGAGCCGTCTGCAAGGGCTCAGCAACATTAATCTGATAATATCATTCTCAATAATTAATTGCTAACCTATTTAGTTTAACAGCATCACTGGCTAAACTCACAGCAGGTTCAGATGTCTCAAAAAGATCAAAAATGGCAAGAAATGGCTACATGCATAAAATTGTATGATGGGACTGATACTGTATGGCAACAATTTCATGCTAGGCAAAAAGCTAGCATGCTCACTATGATCTGTGAGCATGCTAGCTTTATGTTTAATTAAAGCAGGCTCTTTTATTACAGTATCTCGTCTGTTAGTCTTCTTATATCAAGTGGCAGACTTGAACAAGTGGGTCAGAGGTTTGCTTTATGCCTCACTGTGTGTTTTTGAACTGAATGTTTCACTGTGACGTAAAGTGTTTAACTTGCTGCTATTAAAGTTGCAATATTTTTTCCCTCTTTCTTACTACAGGCCAGGACAACAGTGAAGAAACTGGCAGTGGCTCCAAAGTGGAAGAACTATGGCTTGAGAATATTTGGCTACCTTCACCCTTACAGAGATGGTAACTAGCTTTTCACCAATCTGAGGAAGCATTTGCACATTTGAAAGAGTAGACATTTTCCACAGCCCTCTTAATCCAAGCACTTCGGAGCCACTAATGTAGTGGATATTCACATTTTTATTAGGGCTGATTGCCAGAAGTCTCACAGCTAAATCTCATTGCAGTCCCCTCATGGCCTTACCCTCAAGCCCAGTTGCTATGGGAACTGAAAGCTCTAAAGCCCAAGTGCCCTTGCACAAATTGCAGAATATGAAGTTATTAATTAGATTACCATTCATTTCAGCCCCTCATGTAGCTTTCACTTGGGGTATCACTCTCCGTTGCTGATGGCTTAAAGGTCATATTATCTTCTCGGTGACAGCGTGCGCGTCGTTTCTCAATTATGTTTTGCAACCAAATTTAAAATATGAATAATGTGGCAATTTAACACGTAGTTTGAGAATTCCTAAATATTGCAATAGTGTAGTAACAAATTAGTTTTATTATAGTGAACACTACCACCTGCAAAATATTAGAGTGTCTCACCGTACTGACCTGGGTTTGCAGCAACCCCCAAATGGGAAGCTCTATT